AAGTATCTATGCTTCAGTAGATATTAACCCACTTAATATTGCTAAGTCCTCGCATGACAAAAAAGCAGGGCAATCAGGATCAGAACCTGCTTTGTCAAAACGTTCTTCTATGATTGGCAACATGTTTAGCCGCCGCAGCAGTTGGATGGCATCATCTGATTCAATGTCTGACTACGAATATTCTGACGCTATTGCTCATAACAATAGTGGTGATACCAGCGGAGCAAGCGCGTATAATAATCCTTATGGTGGTCGCAGGCGTTCCATTATTCAGGCACCAAATGGCACTGGTGCACGAGTACTTTCATCGAGATCTAGTTTATATACTACTTCGGGTCATATCCCAGTTCCACAAGACCACAATATAGGTTTTGCAGGTGCTCTTTGGAGCTCAATCATTCGCGAGGAGCAGGAAAAAATTTCTTTTGAAGACACAGACGATTCTTCACAGAAGTCGCAGTTGCAAGCAGATGATTCATTACTGATGGTGCCGACAAGCGGTGACCTGCGCGTTCACAAGTCGCGGTCATCGGGGCACTTGGGCTTTTCTCCCAGCTCAGATTTACGCAGTGTCAAGAGCTCTACTACTCTCAACAACACTTTCAACACGTACAATAACTTTGCAGAAATGGATTCCGGCGATATGGCGGCACGCACGAGCATTTACTCAAACAATGTCAATGAGTCGGTTTATTCTCATCAAAATGAGATACAGCTAGAAGATGAAGAGCTTGTTCTCAACGGTGCACCGTGGGCGAAAGAAGGCCTTCTCAAGTTTCAGGCCTTTTTTGACAAAGACTCAGTACCCAAGAAATACAAAAAAAAGGGCTGGACTGAGGTTTTTGTGGTTGCACAGCGCGGTTACCTTAAAATGTTTCAATTCGAGACTCGGCAGCCTGTGAAGAAAAAGTCAATGATTTTAAAGCCCTTTCGGTCGGCCTCGTTGGGCAATGACACTAAAAGTAATTATAGCAGCGGCGCAAGCATTAACAGTGGACAGGGTAGTGCAGATATAGAAAGCTTGGAGAACAGTGGGGCCAAGGTTGGTAGCGGTAATTGGCTAGATAACGCGGTGATGGTTGACAATATTTCACTTTGCCACACTATGGCACAAATTATTCACATTGCCAAGGACGGCACCGATATTCTGGGCGTGTTGCCTGGGCTGTCCAACAAGAAAACAAGTCACATTAGTCATAATGGCACCAACGTGCAGTGGTCATTAAAACTTCCTAATGGTGGTGTACTGGCATTTTTAGCAGGTACGCGCGAAATTGCCGATGAGTATGTCTACACCTGCAATTACTGGGCAGCGCGAGTATCGAAAGAGCCATTGGTTGAGGCTGTTTCTTCAGTTGAGTACGGCTGGGGCCGGCCACTGGAAGTTGTATTTGGACCACAAGCGATGGAAGAGCATTCTAGCAATAGTAGTACCAACGGCAGTGTTGGCGGCCAGGAGCGACCTGTGTATAAGTCACGGTCTAAGTCAATGACTTTGGGGATATTACTCAATGATGATAGCACCACCTCGACGTCGTCAGCTACTTCAATTACGTCAGGCGAAAAGGAGCACCTACCGCGCAAGAAGGCCTCCTCGCCAAATTTTGGGGGCTATAATCATGGCAAGTCGATGCAGTCTCAACTTCTGGGCCGCACGATCGGTGGTGGCAGTAACATTCATGGAACAGCGCTCACCGCAAGCAACACTCGCAGTACTACCTCATCTAACACCAGCGTGACTAATCACACGGCCTCATCTTCGGACAGCGGTAACAGTGTCAGCAACAAATCTTCGGCCTTTGAGGCCTCTGCCGCTGCCACCGCTGCAGCTACGTCTTTACTTGGCATTACGTCTGAGTCTTTAACCCAGCTTTCGTTAAAGGCCCATACTCTTCCGTCTTCCAATCTGCGCACGGTTGTTACCACTAAACGCGCTGACAATGGCACAGTAGTAACGCACCGCGGCCGAAAATTCTATCTTGCATCAGGTTCGGTTGATACACTTTTCATCAATAACACTCAACTCAAGATCCGTGGGTGGAGACCTGCACAAGTGCATTCGGCAGTACACTCTCAGCTAGACGAAGAAAGTCAGTTGGCGGCGCTGGTTCGACACACTGCCACGGTAGAGGAGACCCTTGAGGTGCACACAGGCTTGCGAGGCAGGATGATGACTGTCTTTAACTCAGGCTTGATTGTATCAAAACTTGTCAACACCAATTGGGAAAAGAAGAGTAATTACTTACTGCGTGAAGCTGTCAAGTACGATATTTACATTTTGACACTTAACTACGCAATCAAGGACCGCAGCATGGCCACTGGCGTCAACAGCCTGACCGCCTCCGCGGATGGCAGCAGCTCAATGGAAGACAATGCGATGGTGCTCTAGTCAAATAGACGCTTGGTTATAAATATATAGAACAGTCTTTTTTTTTTTGGCGATTGGTTTGTTTAAATTATACATATATATATATATAGATTATAAAAACACACATCCCAACCTATATTACGTAGGAATCTACAAAGTATTGAATGTCAAGGTTGTTATTTAGCACACATTAATCGGCCAAAAGAAATTAACATGAATCGCTAAATATATTGAAACACGCACAAACAATGCTATCTTGAAAAAGTGTCACAAAAAAAAAAAAAAAAGAACATATCTTTGTGATTATTTTGTAATTTAACTCTGAAAACAGTATCCGCATTTTAAATAACTTTGTTTAAAAAAAAACTTTTATGTTGACTGTTTTTTTCTGATTTTTTCTTTTTTTTATTCACTGAATTTGGTTCATCTTGTACCAGGGAGTCTATAGGTTTCACAAAAAAAAACAAATCACAAGTTTACTAAAAACTTATGCAGTATAAGAACAAACAGCTATAATAATTATTTTTTTTTTTTCAAAAAGAATCATGAATACCAAAAGATAACATGATCAAGTAATTATACAAAAAACTATCTACAATCATATGGTTTAAGCAACAATTTTGCTCCAGGGATGTTCAATAACACCGTACTGGATGTCGGCGATCCATTGGGCAACAGACTCAGTGAGAGGACCGGACTGCTTGCCTTCCTGCAAAGGAACTTGAATGTCATTACCTCTCCAGCCAATTTCCTTGATGGGAGAGACGACAGCAGCAGTTCCGGAACCAAAAGCTTCAACAAGCTCACCCTTGGCCGCACGCTCCTCAACCTCATAGATGGTACAGTAGCGCTCGGAGACAGTCCACTCACTGGGATCGAGCTTCTCGCGAGCAAGAGTGAGAATGGAATCACGGGTGACACCTTCAAGAATGGTACCATCTAGGGGAGCAGTGACAAGCTCCTTCTTACCAGTAGCCTTGTCCTGGAACACGAAGAAAACGTTCATGGTGCCGACTTCAGTAATCTTGCCTTCCTCACCAAAAAGCCAAAGGTTCTGCTGGTAGCCTCTAGAAGCAGCCTCACGTTGAGGTTTGATGCAAGGGGCGTAGTTGGCGCCAAGCTTCTTGTTGCCGACACCACCGGGCCAGGCTCTAACGGCATAATCGGTGGCCTCAAGTCTCACAGCCTTGAAACCGGTGGGATAGTAGGGGCCGACGGGCGATGCAATAAGGTAGAAGAGGGCCTTACTAGGGGTGCTGACACCAAGAGCAGGATCGGTACCAATAAGTGTCGGACGCAAGTAAAGCGAGAAACCCTTTTTCTGGGGAATCAAGTTCTTCTCGAGTTTGACAAATTCGGAAATAATGTTGATCATAGTGTCAACGTCGAAAGTGGGAAGGCAAATGCGTTCAGCGGAAGAGTTCATTCTCACCATGTTGCGGTCAGGTCTAAAAATGCGAATGTTATCATCGTTGTCTCTGTAAGCCTTAAGGCCCTCGAAACACTCAAAACCGTAGTGAAAGACAACAGAGGCAGGATCGAGGTTAAGGGTCTGGTAAGGCTTGATCTCAGGAGCCTGCCAGCCTGTCTTCTCATCCCACTCAATGGTGAGCATATGGTCTGGGTAGAGGTGTGTTAGCCGGGAATGATGTTGTTTGACAATCTGTGTGTGGAAGCAAGATCAACAAGAAATTTACCTCAAGTTGCCGAAGCAGCCGCAGCAGTCGGGGCAACGGGCCAAAATATTTGTATCTGATCTCAGTTCTACAAGAAAAATACTAGATAATTACTTACCAGTGAAGGTGTGGCCAAAGACAAGCTTTTCGGGGGGAGGCAATGTCTTGGGTGTTGTGGTTTTCTCGATAGTGAGTTTAGAGAGATCGAGGGCAGCGCCGGAAGCAGCCAACCGCGAGGTCGAAAGATTTCTGACTGCGGCAGGTGCGAGACTGCGGTTCTGCAACAGCATTTTAGAGATAGTCATGATGATAAAGAAAAGAAGAAAGGTGTTGATGTGAAAATAGACAGATTGTTAAAAAATTTAAAGGATAGAAAGAAAAAAAAAGAAAAAAAAAAGCGGTGAAAGAACTAAATAAATAAACCTTTTTTTTTTTTATTTTAGCTGTTGGTGTTTTCGTGTTAGTGAAAATTTCACGAACGGGCCGTTTTTAGTCCAGAGGTTGTGACGGAAGTGAAAAAGAAAACAAAAAAAAAGAAAAAAACAGTAATATGTGTGAGTCTGTTGTGTTTTTTGCTGTGCGAAATTTCTTGATCGGTAGATGTAAAACAGTGTCCGAAGAGTCATAGTCACGTGATTCTAACTCTCTTTTGTATGTAGCAGTAAAGTTTTAAACATCGAGATTTTTTTTAAAAAAAAAAAAAAAAACTTTGACACGGGAATCTTTGATAAGGGAAATAAAAACAAGAAGGTTAAAAGCGGATATTACAGGAAGTTTATGAAATATGCGTTAAAAATGAGCAAAAAGGGTTCTGAACAAATGTCAATTGTGTGCGTGTGTGTAATTGGAGAGAGGGGAATTGTTTATAAAACAATAGGGGGGTTGTATTATCATTCTATGTTTTCGGTCTTAACGACAAAAAATGAAAAAAACAGTTGAAATACAATACAAAAAAATGATTCAACCCAGGATCGAACTGGGGACCTTCTGCGTGTAAAGCAAACGTCATAACCGACTAGACCATTGAACCGAATCGTTGAATAAAAATTTGTTAACTAAATCCAGACCGCAAAGAGTAAAAGTAATAAAATACTGTTCTTAGAAATTGTGAACTGTTACGACGTTTTGGAACGCCATTAAAAGCATCAATTCTTTCAAAAAAGCAAAAAGATACTATGGAAAGTTTATAAAATGGGATTCAGGCTATTAAGCCTCATTCGGTTTATTAAAAAAGTGTCTTTCTTTGATTAACCCAACTCTTTGGATGCAAAGATGAGAGTGGTTTCGCGATTGACCATGGTCAAAAAAAAAAGATATTTCAACAAAAAAAAATGATTGTATCATGGCATTTAATGCCTGATTACTCAAATAAGGCAATCTGGAACCATTCATGAGAACTGTGCCTCGCCATATCTCTAGCAAGTTATTTCAACTGCGAACGGGTCATGGTGCTCTTGGGAAGTATTCCCTAACGAGGTGTATTACTGAGAGAGATTATAACTGCGAATATGGACAGCTGGAAAACAGTTGAACACGTTCTCAAGGAGTGATCCTCTGCATCCTGTGAAGCGTAGTTTCTTGAGTAAACTTTTCCCTGGAACTTGATCTAAGAATCCTGATTGATAGCAAGAAAGGGTCTTGAAGCGGTAGTCAAGTTCTTAAACTCATTACCGCAACTTCATTGCTGATGGTTTGCTTGATTAGAGCAGTTTGTTGAGGTTTTACTGTGTGTCAATCTCTGTTACAATCTACCAGTTGTTATGTGTCGCAGGTTTCCCTTAGCACATGTGTTATTTCATGGAGAATTCGGCGCCATCAAATGCCTGAAACACCTAAAGCGCGGTGGGAACGCTAAATTCAAAGTTTCATAGAGATAAATGGTTTTGGATTTCATTCTTTTTTGTATATTTTTGTTATTATTCTTTTAATTATGTAACTATGTGATGTAAGGACAATAAACAGATTTTCTATCTATCTATCCAAAATAAGTCAACATTTACTATTGATGCTACAATAATTACTAAAAAAAAAGTTACATTTATAAATGTAGAAGTTCAAGAGTGATCGAGTAGACCTGGTGCTACGTATAACAGAAATATCTTTAATAATTCAAGGATTTAATTATCCATTTGCACGTATGATATAATATAACCAAAAAAAAAAAAGCAAAATAAACAAAAAACAATTCAAACAATAACAAACAATAATAATGATTATAAAAAACAAGCATGTCAAACAGACCTCTACAAATCTAGCTCCAGACCTACATTGAACTGCAGGCCACGGCGCACAAAGTCCTCGGGTTTGCTCTTCAAGGGTACTGCGTAGACAAGCTCAAGTTGGGCCTGCTGTGAGCGGTACACAAGACCAGCACCAGCCGACGTGGATGCCGCAGTCTCGCGCAGCTGTTTGATTGTGTCAACAAGACTGGGCGCACCAGATGTTGCGTCAGTAGCTGCAGGGACAAGCGAGCCACCGCTGAAAAAAATCAAAAAGCGCAATGGCGAAAGGCTTTCTGACAACCGCGGAAGCTTTCCTAGAAAACTGACCGATCCAAGTGTGTAAGCATCTCCGCCTAAAGAGGTCTGACTGTCCTTGGGACCAAGTCCATTGTACTGGTAGCCGTACAGCATTGCCTGTGGTCCCGATGCTTTACCACCAAGGTAAAATCTGTCAAGAATGTTGGAAGCCAAGTTTCCATTGCGAGGATAGTTCCACAACAGACCTGTGGCTAAGTGCATGTTAAAGACCAAACGGTCACTGCCGGGGTCAAGAGATTTGGAGTAGGATGCTGCTGCAGCAGATTTGAGGAAAGCAACGTCCGACTTGATAATCTTTTCACTATTACAAACAACGCCAGCAAGCTCGGTTTGGCCCTCAAGAAGGTAGCCTTCGGATGGATAGACCTTGTTGTTGCGACGGTCAAGCGCAAAGCGCGCAAATATAGAAGACTTAGTGTTAGCAGGAGACACTTCGGCTGCGTCAGCCGCAGTGATAGTACGTTCGACACCCTCAAAGCCAATCTCAACTGCGCTGCCTGGGAAGCGCGGCGATGCAGACACAATCTTGGCAGAAACACCTTTGAGTTTAGTAGAGTAGGGCGCATAGGGTGCCACGTTTTTGGTCTGACAAAACGCAGAAATGTGGGCCTGCAAGTCCGGCAAGCCATTGAGCGGCGTAGCAAAATTAGCAGTATAAGAAGACAGCGAGCGCGGGTTGGTGTTGACTTCGGCCTGCACCGTCAGCGACTCGGCACCACCAAACAGGTTAGTTACCGAGCCATTGGCAACTACGCCAGCGACATCATCTTGAATTATAGTACGCAAAGAAAAAGGTACCTTGCTAGTGCGATTAACAGAAAAAAGTGCCTTAAGGTCAAGCGGTGCACCGGGTTGTGCATTGCTAGCCGCAGACCCAGGAGCCGGAGTGCCGGCGACAGCGTCGACGTTAGAAAAAAGAGGATCTGCGAGGTCGAGCGAAAACTTGGCATTGTCAAAAATACCAAAGCGCTCCAGACGGCCAGCAGTTTCGCCAAGAGCTTCGAGCAGAGACGGGAGAGTATGTGCACGTTCGACGATGGGAGCAACTTGAGTCTTGAGGAAAGAGGTTCTGACGGAGCTGGCGCCAATAACCTCGAGTGACTGTACAGTCACGGGAAGTGTTTGGTTCTGTCCGACAAGCTTAGAAATCTCATCCTGCGAGTAGTTCGAATATACAATGTCGTCAAGAGACGTCAATTCTTCGCCAAATGGAACCGACATGGCGAGAGCTTCTATGAGTTATATTCTAGGAGATTAGAGGTGATAGGCTGAGGAAGAAAGGTGGTGAAGTGAAAAAAAAGACAGAAAAACAAAAAAAAAAAAAATAAAAAAAAAAATGATTGGACATAAATTAACTACACAAACTACAAACACAGATAATACTATAAAGACAATGTACCAGGGCCCAAATACGAAGCCAATGGTAAAAACACTAAAATAAAGACAAATACACAAAAAAAAAAAAAACAGTCAGAACGAATGTTTAACTAATTGTTCTCCTTCTCATGCTTTTTGTGTGCGGGAATGTCAAAGTCTTGGTGAAACTTTTGGCCTGGCATAATCGGAATCAATGACATAATCTGCTGGATCTGCTCCTCAGGGGTTTTACCATTGATGTTGCGATACAACTTAAACTCAAGAGGCATTTCATTGACCCGTCTAAACAACTTAGGGTGAAACTCAACACCTTCCTCTGCGCGCGACCGTGCAGCCTGGCGTTGGTTCTCCTCGATAGCAAACTTCTCGTCTGTGGCTGTAGCGTGGTCACGATTGCCCAGAGCCTCGCATACCTTCTGCCACAGCCGCCGAGATTCTAGCTCGCCCTGCTCATCGACAGGACGCACCAACGGCGGATACGGCTTCGCAATGCTCGCATCAAAAAGCACAGTCTTTTTGTGCGTTTGCACATTGGTGAGTTCAATAACCTCATTCCACTTGCCGGAAATTTCGTACAGCACCTTACCAGTTGAAATGGTCTTGATATGTCCCTGAATCGCATTGTATGTGCCAGAGATGAAACCCTTTGTCTTAAATTCAATGTCCGCTACTAAATCTAGCGCCGGACATTTCACAAGCGAGTGGTCGCCAAGCTCATATTTGAGTTTACCAATGAGAATGCCTCTTGCGTACATATTAGGCTGTGTGAACTCGTAAACCTCCGGCTTACCTGCATTGTCGAGGATATCAATGAATTGTAAAAAGCCAACACCCTCCATCATTGAAGCTGCAGAGTTACCTAAAAACTTAGACCGAGGAATCAAGATGCCGTCAATGCGGATTCCGTTTTCAGGTGACATAAAAAAGTAAGACGACTTGGGTGGGTGGTGCGACGTCTGTTCGGCAATATAGAAAGCTTTAGTTTTGTTGGGCAGATCCCAGTAACACGAAAAGTACTCACCAAGTACAGGGTTGAGCGGTTTCTTGACTGCTTTAGGGGTAATGTGCCAGCCCGATAAACTCCACTTGACAACCTGGATGAACCGCTCAACGGGATCCTTAGTGGCGTGAGCGTCAATCAAAATGCCTGGATGTTGCAATTGATTTGTAATGCGCTCAAGCATGGACTTGCGCTCAAGAATGAACGTTGGGAGTGTGATACGTGAGAGGTCCGAGCCCAGACGCAACTGCGAGATAATGCCCATGAGGATGTTTTGGCCCTCGCCATCAACCTCGTCAATGTCTTCGGGGGCCTCATTAGTGTTAGGCCGGTCAACGGTGGGATCACTCGATGCAAAGGGGTACCTAGGAAGCTTGAACATGAGAGGCGTGGTAGTGGCGCTGGAATAGGGGTAGCGAATGCTGGGAGGTTGCTGCGCCGTAGAAGGGAAAAAGGGATGGATAAAGGAAAGAAGAGAAGGAGGAAAATAAAACAAAAAAAAAAGTTTTTTTTGTTCTCAAAAACCAATAGTTAATATAAAACTAATGATAAAGAAACAAAAAAAAAAAAAAAAGAAAAAAAAAAAAGCCCGCGCACTCCTATCTTGCGGTGCCGACTCGCTATGATGATATATGAAACACGAAAAACATACAGCAGTAGTAAACCATTCAAAGTAATTGTTTTAACAGTACTTTCCTTACGAGCTTGTATAACAAAAAGTACAACCACACACTAACTTTTACTGGGAGCACTTGTATAGTATGATTGTGTTATTTTATTAACACCAATTAGATGATTATAGAACTTATGATATTAAATGAGACTATATAGATGTACTAGCTTACACAATACGACGACAGCTGCATCAAAACCGCGCCAGACCCTGGCACTGAAAGCACCCACAACGCTGTCCCAGCAGCGCTCACAGACGCTTGCGTACCGCCCATTAGTGCTCAAGAATAGAAAGACTGCCGGTAATCACAACATTTTCTAACTCACTACCGTTGGGGATATCAATCTTCTTGCCCTCCTCGCAGACAATGATAACAGTGCCCTTGAGCGTGACATTTTTGCCAAGAGTGACGTTACCCGTAATGGTCAGATGATCTAGCT